CCGATCTGGGGCTCTTCTTTACAATGGATTTCAGAAGTACTGGCTCTGAACCTTATCGGACGACAATGTCAGTCAATGGGCTCTCTGTGATTTTCTGCTCTTATTTTATGAATTTATTTGCTTGTTTGCCAGGCGTCTGGGAAAGCTGGGAAAGAAAGGGTGGGCAGGGCCGCTGAGATAGTCATTCCATTCCGGCAATTAGCAATTTGACGTTGCCGAAAACAAAATTTTCCTACAAATTGAAAGCCATAAAGTGGGTGTTTATGGCTTCGAGCCCCCCCTCCTTGGAGGCGTACGTATTGTACTTCTGGCTAAAAAAGTTGCTAATTTGAACCCGCGCGTAGACACTCATTTCGCCAGAATTTGCTCAGTTTCAATTAGTTTGGCACACGTAAAGGGTTTGTTACCACCAAATGGCACTTGCGGAATGGAATTTCAATTATTTTGTTTTGTTCAAGAGATTGAAATGTACATACAGACCCGAAAAACAAGTCGCCATTCATTTCCCAGTATCAGTCGCCTCTCCAACTTGGATTTCCGCTTCTTTGACCAGAATGCCAAATCGTATGACTGTGTCTAACCCAACTGAATGCCCAAATAGTCTGTACTCTCCTCGACGCGTTTGCATTATATAAAAAAAAACACACAGAAATCTGATGGCGCCGTAAATCTTGATCCGATTGGAACTCATTTTGGTAGCCGAAGTCGTAGCGGATCGGTGGCGCTAATCATGTGGAACCTCTTTCTTCGCCCGAAATAATAATCTCGGCCTGATAATGCACAAGGGTTGTAGGAGGTTTGGCGAAACATAATACTTGAAAATCCGATATTGGGTATAAATTAATGGGGAGCTAACGAGCAGCAACTGTACTCTGAGTCGCCAATTTGGAAAGCAATAATTATGGGTGTAAATCACGTAATTAGGCTGTTAATCTAAGGAAATGGTTTCAAAAATTAATCCCAATGAGCTCTTTGTGTATTTAGAAAGTTAATACCAGTGATTACAATCATATAATATCATTTATATATCACATCAAGGGTTTTATGATATTGTAAAAGTTGATTGCTTTCTGGAAATAAAAAAAGACTAATGACTAAGGATTTAAAGTATGTAATAAATTGGTTGAGTATTCTAGAAAGATTTTAATAATTAATATATTACAAATTGTAGTAAGTAAATAAGGTTTCTTTAGGAATTTGTTGCTTACATTTCTAGAAAAACTTTTGTTCTTTCTTCAGCTTTGGGTTTGAACTAAGATAACCACCAAATTCCAATTGTAATAGCTCAGAAAAAATAGGAAACAATTCCAACTAAGTTCCAATGTTCTCTTTTATGGTAGTAGATTTTTTTGTTACCCTTGCATTCCTTTTGTAATAGCTCAGAAAAAATAGGAAGCCATACCAACTAATGTGCTTTTTATGGTAGTAGACCTGTTTTTTACCCTTGACTTAAATCACTCGACCGATATGGCTGGCGACCAGGCCCCCTGACATCACGCAACCAACCCAAACACGTAAGCTGCTAATTCTGGGGGATCTGGCGTCTTGGTCGAACGTGATCCCGATCCATCAAGTGCGCTCCTGATATCACTGTCCGCCTAGCTGATAGATATAGCTTCACTCCGGTGTTATTTGTCTAATTCGACAACAGGGCCCCAGATAAACACCGAGGGGCTATAATTTGGCCAATGTTTTTGTTATTGTTTTTCGCTGACAAGCATTTTGATTAAGGAACGATGGAGTGGAGGTTGGAGTGGGAGCAGGGCACGTCTCTGGTTCATGTGTGGTACGTCGGATAATGATGTACGAGGTACAGGTTGAAGTTGAATGATAACCTGGGGAAAAACAAGTGATTCACATGGATATATCTGTTCCCTACATTAATTTTTGCTTCTTTTTGGGAGAAGATACCGAAAAAATGGGGAGTTACGAAACCAAGGTCGTTTCTAAATATGAGATTTGTAAGTCCCCGCCATCGAACAAGCTGTCTTAATTGCCTTCTTGAGATATAATAAAGGGTACAACGCATTTCATAACTAAGGAGAGCTAACACCCCAGTCTAAGCCTGCTATTATTAGGTTTGTAATGGCTGTAAATCAAGAATGGTTCTTGATAGACCACCTCTGAGTGCCATTGTCCTTACACAGAAAACAAAACAGTTGAGAAATTGTTAATTCTACAAATAGAATTCCTTGCGACAAGCCATTATAAAGATGTCGAGATTATCGGTACTTAATCGCCAAATAATTGACGCGCCGTCGTAAAGATGTACCCATATAAATGGAGGAGAACCACTCTGCTTTAGGAGCCACTTCAGGCGACCACCAGGTTGGGTGTTAGCCACTGCCCGAGCACGTGTTTTGGCCACACACTTTGGCCCCCGTATCAACTGGGAGGTAAGAGTGGGTTGATTTAGATTTCTATATGCATACAGTTCTTGTTTATTATTAGTATTTAGCATTATCTTTTTGTAATACTAACCCATCCGAGAGAGGGTCAGTTTTTAGACACTTCAGTGGCAGGTGCTTCCTCGATAAAGAAAGTAAAGAAAGGTGAAACCTCAAGTACTGAGATAAGACCATAATCAAGGTTGTATTATAAAAGGCAGCTCAATAAAGTCAGGGATACTCTACTCTTTGCTATATTTAATTTATAGAACCTTTTGCAGAATCGGTCCATGTCGATGACTTGTTTATTTATTCAGGGGGATTCCCTTATCTCAAACATCCAATGATTACATACCACGCACAAGTGATTTAAGGCTCTGATAACCTAATCTCTTGGCCAAATCTAGGGATAATCTCTTAGCAGGTCAACCAATAAAAACATGTGACGAAGCAAGGACTCTAGTTAAATATATGTATTATAATATGCTTTACATCTAGGCGGAAACAAAGAATCGAATGTATTGCGACAACACACACGCAGCGGAAGTGGCTCCTCCTCCTTCTCCTTCTTCATCAGCCGCCACTCCGCTTCACTTCAAGATGGACCATTTGAGTTGTTCGCGCGCCGATTGCAGAACCTAAAAGATAGATAGCACACGACACATATAGAAAAAACAGCAGTTATATCGAGCAATTGGGTAATTAATTAAGAGCAAAAGCCTCCAGAACATAGTTATCAGTCATACATATTTATTAGAACGTTTCCAGAAAGTACAAAGAAATGGGGGTCTATTTTTAGGGGAAAATAATCAAGACAAAGTACACAAAATGAAACAAAAAAGGTATATAAACTTATGAAGTCTGCTTTAAACATAAAGGTTAATGACTGTTAAGGTTTAGTAAATATAAAATAAAACAATATATATATTATTAAATACAAAGATAGCGCAAAACGCCTACCTTTAGGCACTCCTTTCATCTAACGAAAGAACTAAAAAATGAGCATAAAGTTCCAAAATACGTATATTAATCCTTTTTATTTGATCATCTTTACGAATACAACAAAATGAGGTAAATTTTAATGGAAATCCAAGTCAAAGTACGAAACAAAACTAGACAGAAACTAAAAACTAATTGTTTTTTGATCGAAAGGCCTACCAATTAACGTACAAGACACTTAAACGAACTACTAAGTAGAGTAGGGTGAAGTAGTGGCTACCAAAATAGACCATTTAGGGTGTTAGTTACCTGGGCAACGGTCTGTTCGGCAATGGGAATGTCATCGTTGCGCAGATCGACGCGTTTTACGACAGACGAGGGATCCGCATCCAGGATAATGCTGTTTTGAGGATTAAAAGGGGTTAGCTTTAAATTGTATATAGAAATAAAGGAGGTGCAGTGATGGGGAAGCGAAGAAATACATTATTTTGGAATAAAAATAAAACTGGAAAACCGAAAATATGGGTGTTTTTGATAGGAATACTATAGAAAAAGTTGTATACAATCATTTAAGGGTCCTTGGCTAACTAATTATAGGACTTTTAAGGAATTCCTAACTAAAAACACGTAAATAAATGCCTAAAGCGGCTTTAGGAGACTAAAAATATATCGCTTTCAGTAACTAAGTCCTTAAAATCTACAATTAAGTGTTTTTATAGACACTAACAACCATTAAAGTGCTCTTAATTATCACCCAAATTACTAAAGTTTCATGGATTTCAAGAACCCCCTCCCATCACTGCATTTTCCTCCTAAACACAATACCCACCCTCCGTCACAGATCTCATCAAAGGCCAGCATAATGATCTCCAGGTTCTCCAGCACCAGTCGCTTCTCCACATTCTTCTTGAGAATCAAACTGATGGAATCGTACAGGCAGTTGAGCACGGACAGCAGGATCAGTTCGTTCTCGTAGGCGGTGCCCATCACGTAGAAAAACAAGTCCACGTTGCTTTTGTAAACACAGGTGAGGCCGTCCAGCATGATGATCTCCGTGTTCGACCGGTGCGTCTTGTTGAAGAGGTTCTTCTCGAAGGCCTTCTGCTCCTTCAACGTGGACAGGATGTTCTTGTCGTAGTACTTGGCCAGAATGCGGTTGCCGTCGTTGTCCATGATGCACATGCCCTTGATGATATCCTGCGGCAAGGGGAATACTTTATAAAAGCCGGTAATTTATAAATTAAGTCATTTACCATCATAAATCCGTCCATTTTCGCAGATTTTTTTTGTTTTCGTGTCTTACACGTCACATTAGAGATGGCCAAGTCATCGATTGCGGCAAGACTATCGCATGGCAAAGTATTCGATGAACCGATTATTATTGTGTGATTTTGTAAAATGTGAAGAACATAATAGATGTAATCGGTCTTTTACGTAGCTTATAATAAATTATTTAATTTGTTAAATTCTTTTTATCGAGGCCAACTTTTCGTTTTATTTTATTTTCCGGCGTTAGTTAATCGAGTATTCGATTTTTATAACTCTTTAAGCTATCGATTTTTTAGAACACTTTCATTTAAATTGTTGGCGCGCTTGCAAATATTCTTTTTTTAGCACTGTATATAATTTTAATTTTAAAAACTGAGTAGGCCAAAATAAAAATAAGGCTTGACTGTGTTTGACTTTTTTTTTCGGGTTTTAACAAAGCCCAGGAAAACGACTGTGGACAGCCTAAATTTTAATTAATTCGTAAAATACAGAAACACGTACAAATTATTTGCGCTCAGCCACCGAAATTGTTTCGATTCAATTGTGTATATATACTTTTTTTTATTTTAATTTCAAATAAAACCTTTCCCGATGGATATTCTGCAGGATGAGTTTGTTGTCCCCAAGCAGGAGGATATGGAGCACGAGCCGGTGCGCAAGGTGGCTGCTACGAAGATGCTGCGTTCCGCTCGGCGTCGTCATAACCATGATGCCAATCTAAGCGCCACCAACACCACCGTGGCCGCTCATGTGGTGGCCGGCAAGCCAAAGCCACCAAAACCAGAGTCCAAGAAGTTGCGCAAGAAGCTGACCGAATGCGAGGAGGAGAAAAACACACTGGCCCAGACCATTCAAGACAAGAATCAGGAAATCTCGGACCTCAAAAAGTCCGTGGATTCACTCAACGATGTCCTGAACTCGGTGCCCATAGATGAGTTGCGCTGCAACTCCTCGATAGCCAGCACCAAGATCCTGGAGCTGAGCAAGAAGAACCGTACAATGCGGGCCGAACTCGAGCAGACAAAGGCTCGGCTGGGCAAGAAGGAGGCTCAAATCGAGAAGCTGGAGCGAGATGTGCGCTCCCACAAGGACATGCTGCAGGCCAATCAGGATTTGATGAAGAAAGGCACCTCTGCCGACGAGCTGCAGGCCAAGGTGAACAGCATGCAGCAGAAGCTGTTCGAGACCAGGAACAAGAACACAGAGCTACAAAACCAACTCAAGCTAGCTCAAAAGTGCTTGCAGCACGAGATTGGCGGCGATACCATCAATGTCAACATTCTGGCCAACAATCTGAATCAGGCCAACTGGCGTGGTCGCGCCCAGCAGATCCTCACGCTCACTCAAAAAGTTCAGGAGCTAAAGGCCCGTCTTGACTCCAGCGAGGATCGTTCTCTGGCTGGCGGTGGGACAGACTATGTCCCAGTGCCGATGGGCTCTGATCTGGACAAGGTGCATAGCAGTCCTCGATCCTGTCACGCCAGCCTGGGTGGCGGTGATGGCGCTGGCACCACTGCACCCTTCGATCGTTTCACTCCAGGCGTGCGCAAGAGCGAGATCCTCCACCGCGCTAAAGTTGAGGCCTTGGAAAAGGAGATTGTAAATCTGCAGGCCCAGTTGGAGGATCAGCGCAGCAAGATCTTGGCCCTAAAGGTGCGCAACAAGACCCTCAACGAGGATCTCATCAAGTACAAGATTCGCTCCAGCGAACTCGAGGAGCAGACTGACTACAATGGTGTCAACATTGACACCATGAACGACAAGCTCTCCAAGCAGCGTCAGCAGTACGAGAGCCGAATGGATGACACGCGTGCCGAGCTGATCCGAGTGACCGAGGAGCGGGACACTGTTCGTCGGCAAATGGAGGAGCTCAGCAGCATGCATCTGGAGCTGCAGACGGTAGTCAAGCAAAAGGAGGTGGATATTGCAGGCCTGCAGGAGATGGCCAAGAAGCTGGAGATGGATTTGCGAGCAGTCACAGGGGGATTCCTTTTCTCCTGCCGGGAGTTTCGAAAGGTGAGGTTAATTTTGGATCTAGAAAATCTTTATAATTTTAATTCCTTTCCAGGAGGAATATGTGGGCATTCTGGATGCCTTGGAGGTGGAAAAGAACCAGCTACTGCTGCTTAACAAGAGTCTCAATGAACGCTTGGAGACGGAGCGTGCCAGGGTTGAGGGAACTCAGGAACAGATAGCCAAACACAAGACCCGCATTAGTCGTTTGGAGGCCAGAATTCGGGAGCTGGAGAAGGAGCTTGATGTTCAGTCCGACAAGAAGAAACGCACTCAGCGAATGGCCGAATATGCCAGTTCGCTGAGTCGCACTTCTCTTAGCGGATCAATTGGCTCCTTTAGCTTTGAAAATCAATCGCAATACCAATCGATTACCAATCTGAATTCAGGTCAGGTTGAGCCTAAAGTGGAGGAGTTAAAGAATCAGTGAGTATAAAGATTCAACACACCTTCCTTTATTAATTTATAATAAAATTTATTTTATAATTTTTAAGATTGGAATTGGCCCAGGAGAAGATCACCATGCTAACCGAGAAGCTGGATTACATCACCGAAGAAAAACGCTCCGATGCCAAGTTCTTTGAGGAGACCATTAACAACTCCAAGACCATTATCCTGGACACCATTCTCGGGACTCGCGAGGGCAAAGGCACCATTACCAGTGCCACCTCCACAGAAGAAGAGTCAGCCCAGAGTCACTGAGTTTGTGATTAGTTTTCTAATTAATTTTTAAAGTTATTTCCAAGCTAAATAAAAATAAAAAAATCCACCTTGGGTTTTTCATAAATGTTTTATTTTTTTTTATTTGTAACACGTTCACAAAACAAGAAGCCTTTGGCGCTGCTTCAGTTTCAGTTTCAGGATAAGATTAGATTTCAATACATGTAAGTTGCTCTTCCTCCTCAAAGCAGTTTAAATTGCATTATGCCTATATAGTTATTAATTAAATGGGTGTGTGTGTTAATAATACATTATATAGCTTGACTTGCGCCATAGAAAAACATTCCGCCATTTCAATCATCACATTATTAATTATTTTAGTTGCTGTGTGTGTAAATTGTTTCGTTACTTTTGCATTTGAAATTCGTTCAGCGCTTTATTTTTGCATAATTAATTGTATAAAGTTATAGTAGTTGTATATATATGTTTGTTATTGATGCATTATTTATTGATAAGCCTAGGTAAATTGGTTTTCATCTAAAAAACACTTGGTTTTAGCAAATTAAAGGCACTTTCAAGGATTTATTTTGTGAAACGAAACAATACTCTTTCTCTCGCCCTTCCTGCTCTCATTTAACACTAGAAACAAACAATATTTTTATATAATCCTCTTAACAAAAAATATATGTATATATTAAAACACGAATTTCTCCTTACAAAACAAAGAACAATATATATATTTTCAATGCCTGCTGCTAGGATTATACATTTAAATTGACAAAATTGTAGGGATAAAGACTCGAAATGAGTCCAAGCTTTTGAAAAGCTTAAGAAAAAAATAAACGAGGAGGGGAAAATCCAAGTAATTTTACTTGTTGAGAACTTCTAATTAAATTAGAACACTGTTATTTTTTTGCTGAAGCAATTTTTTTTAGCTACATTTGTGTATATTTATGATTGGTTAGCTATATAGCGTACGATCTCTTGTATATCGTTCAATAAATATTCTGTATAAATTTGATTCGTAGATAAATGCAAACTTGGCTCTGGTCGCTGCTTCATTATAATATAAGGTATATTATATATCGGCCGATTTCTAGCTAAAACACACATCATAACTGTTGTTGCGGCTTTTAGTTTATTTAGTTATTTATGTATATCGGATTGTTGGTTCTTGCTATTAATTTTACAAATGAATTTCTCATCTTTCAATTCTTTACAAAATCCGCTGGCTATATATAGTATTTATATATATCTATGTATGTGAATGTAAGTATAAATTAATGCACTAAATGTTTAGGTTTTGGGTCAAGGTGCTGGGCTTGGAAGAGGGAGTAAGCGACCTTCGCCGTCGCCGCCTGAATACATGGTTAAAGTAGTAGTAAATATCCTGCTCGGGCTGCTGCTGATTGGGCGTCTTCCTGTTCATCTCCTGCTGCTGCTGCTGCTGTTGCTGCCTCTGCTTGGTGTCCACTTGCGGATGATAGTTGCTATAGTGATTGTAGCCATGCATATCGTAGGGATTATGGTGACCCGATGGATGCATGCCAGCGGGTGGAATTGGTCCTAGTCCTCCTACTCCTCCTCCTCCGCCATGAATGCCATGTCCCCCGCTTCTCATCATTAGATTCGCATGCATATTTCGATCCGCAAGAAAGACATTGACAAAGAAGACCAGCACGAGCAGGATATAGAGCAGGCAGACAAGGATCACCACTGCTGGCTGGCGACAGCAGCAGTAGTAGAACATTCCCTATTATATAACCGCCTGCTCCACATAGTTGGCAGGCAGCATGCCGGTCTTGCCGGTTCGCTCCACACGACCGGTCATCCAGCCAGAGTCAATGGATTCCACTTCAAAGATGACATCGCCCTCACAGAAGCTGACTTCGTCGACGTCCTGCGCCTCGTAGTCGTAGATGGCTCGATAGACACGCTGTGAAAGGGGAATTCAATAAATAATAATACAAATAATTAAAAATAATAAATAAATTATAATAATAAACACATATATAAACGCTTCTCACCAAGGCACTGCTCTGGCGCGACTGTTTATCCTGCAGGGAGACATAGGATGGCTGCTGGCGCAACTGCTGCTGCTGCTGCTGTTGCTGTGGGGGATGCTCTTGCTGCTGCATCATCTGCACCTGCTGGTAGTACTGCTGTTGCTTCTGTTGGTGCTGTAGAGCCTGCTCGGCACTGCTCAGCGAGCCATAGATGCCATTGGCTGGATCAATGTCAGAAATGGAGCCAATCTTTTTGGGATACACACTGTTGCCTGTTTGGAAGGATACTTAAGTTACTCAGGAGTTCCAAGGACAAACTCAACTTGACTGTAGTCATGTGGGGACAAGGACAAGATGACTGCTGATGGCTTTACATCGAGCTAAGCTAAGCTAGCTGGCCTGGCCTACATCAACTACTTGGTACTTACCACCACCTGCTGAGCTGTACACCAATGTAGTGCTGGATCTGCCAGACTGGGGCACCACCCTTGGCCCATCCGTCAACGGATCATAGTCGGCTATCTTTCCTATATTACCACCGCTGGCCACCATGGTGGGCACATGGCCATTGCTGGCATTCTTGGCATTTATGGCATTCTCTGATGGTGAAATCGAGGCATAATTGGGTGAGGCATACAGCTGCTGAACTCCTGATCCAGCTGATGCTGCTCCTCCAGTCACACTGGCCGCCGAGCGTCTCATTTGTGGCGGCAGCATTTGTTGGCTATTGTTGATCGTCGTTGTCGGTTGCTGACTATGCCCATTATTATTGTTCAAGCTGTGATTGCTGCTAACGCCGCCAATGTTGCCATTGCTCTGATTGTTGTTCAGCAGGCTATGTTGCTGTTGTGGAGCAGCCACCATTGTGGGGTTGCTGTTGTGCTGCTGCTGCGGCTGTTGGGGCTGATGATCATACTGATCGGCAGAGTTGCCGCTGGGATGATGCGAATTCTGGAGTATGGCTGAGCGCATCTCATTGTAGCTATTAAGAGCCTGCTGCTGTTGTGAATTCTGCGGATGTTGCTGCGAATTCTGCTGATGTTGCTGCACATTCTGCAGTTGTGGTTGCTGGTGGTGCTGCTGCTGTTGTTGTTGTGCCTGCTGGTGATGCTGCTGCGCATTCTGCAGCTGTTGTGGCTGTTGATGCTGCTGCTGGGATGTTGCTGTGGGATACAGATGGGAGGCTTGTTTAATGGCTTGCTGTTGCAGCAACTGCTGCTGTTGCTGCTGCTGCTGTAGCTGCTGCTGCAGGCGCAAGGCCTGCGGTTGCTGGTAATGGGCATAGGGATCGTGCAGTTGCTGCTGGGCTCGCTGTTGCTGTTGCTGGTGGTGTTGTTGTTGTTGTTGCTGTTGTTGCTGTTGTAGCTGTTGGTATGTGGGCGTTATGGCCGCTGTGTTGTATTGCTGGTGTTGTATGGGTGGCGGTGGCAGGGTCTGTTGCTGCTGTTGCAGATAGTGTTGGTGTTGTTGCTGCTGCTGCTGTTGGTGTTGCTGCTGCTGCAGTTGCTGCTGATATTGCTGATGTTGCAGCTGCTGCTGTTGCTGGTGTAGTGTTGACACTGCTGGCGGTATGGGTGAGGCTGTGGGTGCATATTGCGATAATTGTTCAGCTGCCAATTGCTCAGAGAAATATTCCGATTCATCTATCGATTTTATTGATTATTTTTCAATATTAATTGTTCGATTATTATCGATTTTAGTTCGATTTTAATTCCATTTTTAGTCACAACATTTTTTCCACAGTTTTTTGTTGTTGTTAGTGTGTAATATGCGTGTTGTGTGTATGTTTGTGTGATTGGTGTGTGTGTCGTTGGGTTAACGGTTAAGCACACAAAATTATGTTGCATTTATTTGTATTGTTTGTTGTTGTTTTTTGTAGGTTGCAATTGATGATTGGTGGAGTGTGGGGTAAATTATGCCAACACACAAATGTGATAAACAAAGATTCCGCAACAAAATAAATACATATAAAAAAAAAGAAAACGAAACCATAAAAAAAGAACGGCATTATAATCAATATTAATGACAATATGTGACAGATGTGACGGATATGATGGATATAGATATAGTATATGTACGTGTATATTGTGGATAAATAGTGCAGAAATGCAAACACAGACATGCCTTAATATATAGAGAGAGATACAGTGGTTGAAACTTATAGATAAAAGCTTATATATTATAGAAAAGTAAGGATAAATAAGTTTAATTTCATTTCAATCATTTTAATCCAAATTATTCATTAAATATTTTGTTTTAAATGAAGTTTACAGATAGTTTTCGTTACTTAATTCTTGTTTAATCATTTATTTTCTGTATAGAAAAATATATAAATAATATAGTTTAATTATGACATTCATTAAAAGAATTTAAAATTTAAATTTTAACAAAAAACAAGCTTCAACTACTTGTGTCCACTGTAAACTAGTTTTGTTATTTATTTGAATGCATGCATGAATGACGTCAATAGACAATTATGAACACATTAAAAGTCAATGAAATTCGAATAAATTGATTCAAACAGTAAACCCAACCAACTAACCATTATTAAGCGAACGAGCGGTCACAAACAATGAAGCTATAATGGCTACCACAATAGTGAATGGGGGGAAAATGGACAGAAATAATATACATATATGAATGTATATATAGTAATTACAAAAGGGTTTCATAGACAAATGGAGAAATGCCTGAAGGGTATAGACCAGGGGAATGGGCATACTCACTGCTGCTGTCGGACACCTCGGCAGATCCTCGCTGCTTCTCCATGGCCGCCTTCTTCTCCAGATCGCCATGATATGCCACATTCGATATGTGCTTCGTGTTCTGCTTGATCCGCAGTGTTTCCGGGTCATCGGCCACCTGTCGAAAGGGGAATGCATAATGCAATTAGTAACCCATATTCTGAGTGGTAGAGGGAGGGAGTGCCTTTTACACAGAGAGAAAAATCGTACAAAAAGAAATGTAATTTCAACTTTTAGGGAAAGGGAAGTTGAGCTATAAATTCTTTGATTTTTTTTATGCAAAACTTGAAACTGGGCTTGATTTCTTTCTTTAGTACTTATTATTTGCCTTATTAAAAAATGATTTTATATTTAAATTACTTATTTTAACTCTCTGTAAAAGGTATACCTCTACATTTTTCCACTGACCTGTGTAAATTTGCCTTTGGCCTTCTCAAAGTCCGCATGGTATTTAACGTTCGATTGGATTTTCGTGTTCTCCGCGATGCGCTTCAGTTCGGGCGTATCGGCAATGGCCGTTGCCTTGGCCTTCGGTATGTGTCTGCAAAGATAAAAAGTAGAGAGTAAGTTAGGGTTATAGATCAGCGTTAGCAGGAGTTAACATAACATAACGTTAGTGAGTGCAGTCAGTCAGTCAGTCAGCAAGCCACAGATAAAGTTCATCATCAAACTCCACACCATTGCCAGTGGCAATTGGAGCTCGGGATGCAGCTGCAGTTGAAGCTGAAGCTGAAAAATTCTCCACGCCAGCTGGCCAAAAGTTGGTTTCAGGGAAATTCCGCTGAAGCGGGTGGAATGGAATGAGATGCAGACTGAGCTCGAGGGAAAAACTCCCTCCCGCACAGAGCGGCATATCCATCTCCGATTTCATGTTGCCTGGGCTTCGTGTGAAAACCTCTGACCTCGCTCTCAAGAGCTTTTATCAATTAAAACACAAGACAGAGCAGGGTCTGGTGGTCTGCCTCTGCTCTGTGGATATTTTTGTGGCTTGATTTCGATTTGAATTTGTTGTTTCTTTTGTGGCCTTAAGCGAATAACGGCCATCAACTGCCAGAGATTTGTCTGTGGCCGAGAATGGAGTTTATCAAAAGACAAAGGGGGAAAAGTTTTGAGGTTTCAGAGGGAAAACTAACTCGTGGCTTAAATATGGGAATTAAAAGTAAAGATAAGCATCAAAAATACAAGATAAATAAAATGCAAAATTTTTATAAATATTTAGCAAACTTATTTTGTTTTAAGGCACAAGATAATAGAGCTCGCTTTACTAACATAATTAAATTTAACAAAAAACCAACAATGTAGGGATCTTTCTCCTGTTGAACTCCGATTTTCCAACTCCATCCCCCTTGGACTAATACATCAATTTAATTATTGGCAGCTGAAAGGAATAACATGGCGCGCTTCTGTTATGCAAAAGTAATCATAATGAACAAACATACGCAGCAGCAGGACAGGCCAGGGCATATCCATAAATCCGCCAAACCAAATGGACGATGACTCTTTTTGTTTTGTGTGTGTGTGTTTGTTGCTTCGGAGTTCTAGCCTAATCGATGGATCGATCGATTGGCCAACAAAACAACAACTGATAACCAAGTTCGATGAGTTAGCGCCAAGAGAGAAAGGTTGATAAACTCGTGTCCATAGCGTGTGAGTTGCTGTAACCACCCAATAACCATATTGTAAACGTAATTGCATGCAAGTTCTATTGGCATTATAGAATATTTATGGGCATTTTAGCGAGAGCTTCTCTCTAATCGCCAACAGCTGTGGCGCCCATTGAAAAAGTTTAAATGGGAATATGGAAATGGAAATTGGCATGAGAATATGGGGTGGTTATTAGTAGTTCCCTTCTTCTTCTTCTTCTTCACCCACTGAAAATAAGCTGCAATCACTGCGGAATGCCAGCAAAGCGACAACAATACCCACGACGACGACTGTCACACACGCACAACAGAGGTGACCATTGGGTTGGCATGTACTACTATATAGTATATAGAAAATAGCAGTGGATAGTTGATAGTGGCACAAGGCCGTTTAATGACCAAAGCGAATGAGCAGCAGCAGAATCACTGAGACGGACGCACCGATGCATGTAGGTCTATTGCAACGAGCAACGGCAGCAAGACTTAATCTAAGCCAAATGGAAAAGATACGAATTGTGGAATACCCTAGCTGGTAAGGTGATTGATAACATAGAAGAGTTTTCTAAATTGATAAAAATAACATTTTTGGCTTAGCTATGATTGTCATTTCAATATAAAACCCCAATTTGAACATTAGAAAGAGGGGTTCGTCTTCTTAAATATTTCTTTAAAAATGCATATCGATATTTTCGATAAAAGCTCACTTTTGTTTTCTATAATATCGACAGATTTTTCTAGGGAATATATATATAACTCTTCAGAAGCCAAACCTCAATCGAAACAATATGAAATATTACATTAATTTGTAAGCTATTTAAAAATATCAGAAAACCGATAATTTCGATAACAAACAGCTTTTGTTATACATATCTAAGGTTAATTTGTCATCAAAATTTATTAGTATTTCACAATTATTTAATTTTCATTAAATGCCTTAAAAAGTTCCAAGTTTTAATAAGAAGCTCCACATGATACACTTGGGCATCAGATAATTAAAAACCCATTTAATGGGTTAACATGATTTAATGAGTTTGGGGAATTTAAGAAATTCCTTTATGGTTAAAACAAAGGTATCTCTTAAAAGAAAATAAAAGTAAAACAAGAAAGGAAGCTAACTTCGGCACGCCGAAGTTTTGTATACCCTTGCAGATATTATTTCATTACATTTTACTTATACTTATTATGTTTACAGTTTGACAGTTACAGTTTTGCATTCCCAGCTTTACATTTTGTATACATCTACCGATCGGTTTATATGGCAGCTATATGATATAGTCGTCCGATTTTTTTGAAATTTATACCAAAATTCTAGAATAATAAAATAAGCTTATATCCCGGAGTAGATGAAAATACGTTGAAAAACAACGATAATATAATTTTTTTTCTATTAATTTCCCGATCGTTCCTATGGCAGCTATATGATATAGTCGTCCGATTTTCATAAAATTTTTACCAAAATTCAGAAATAATATAAAATGGTCATATCTAAAAAATGGTGCCAAAATGTTGAAAAACAACAACGTTATAATTTTTTTTCTAAAAATATATCGAACATTTGTATGGCAGCTATATGATATAGTCGTCCGATCCGGCCCGTTCCGACATATATAGCAGTGAGAGTAGAAGACTATATGCAAAGTTTCATTGAGATAGCTTTAAAACTGAGGGACTAGTTTGCGTAGAAACGGACAGACGGACGGACAGACGGACAGACGGACATGGCTAGATCGACTCGGCTGTTGATGCTGATCAAGAATATATATACTTTATAGGGTCGGAAACGTCTCCTTCATTGCGTTGCAAACTTCTGACTGAAATTATAATACCCTGCAAGGGTATAAAAAAAAGAGTATAAAAAGAGCAACCAATGCATTGTTGTTGTGGCCTGTGCAAGCTTCGCTTTACTTTGCTTTATCGTTCAATATGCGTTGCATGTTGTGTGTGTATGTCCGCGTGTGTTTGCCATAGATATATGGTAGTGAAGAGGGGTATAGCAGGGGGAAGGGGGCAAAATAAGTACAAAGCCCGAACCGCAGAAAGCATCGTCCATTTTCTGCATTGCCGTTGCAGTCGGTCGGTCAAATTGCTGTTGTTGCTGTGGCACACATTGCTGCTGCTGCTGGTGCTACTGTTGCTGCTGCTGCTACTGCTACTGTTGCTGGTAGCTGGTAATGATGACATAACAATGCTTAAGCGCCCGGAGGCGACATTGGCGAGCAGCAGCTAGGCCACCACCATCAGCGGATGTCTCAGCACGTTCCCAATAGATCAGCAGCAGCAACATGCATGCCAGCAACAACAATGCATGTGTATGATGCAATTGTTGTTGCTTTTTTTGTGCTTTTTACTTTTTTTTTTTTTTGTATTATCAAAGAATTTTAATTTATTTGTAAACAATACACAACAACAACGGGAAAGGAAGTGCATTATATACCAGAGCAGTTCCGTTGTTGGTCATATATTCTCTTGGCTTTAAGGACTAAAGAAGCCTCTTGTGTTGGTTATATTAAATTTTTAAAAATAACCATTAACCCATATTTGGTAGACAATATAATATGAGTTAATAAGAGTTTGAATTAAGGGAGGCTATAATAAGCTGGTAGGCTGGGCATATTGGTTCCTAAATAGATTTCTTTACTTTAAATATTTTTTAAATTTCTATAATTAAAAAGGAATAATACAATTCTGTTCAAACTTCCTAAATACTTCCCCTAACATAGGGTATTTAAGATTTCCCATCATCCTATCCCGTTAATGATTTCCCCCACACATTCCTGTTAAAGGAAAAAAAACAGGAAGGAAGGAAGGATAAAGCTGCTCTGGATTCCTGGCCATCAAAACTGGACTACATCCATCCACAACCCGATGTCCCATGTCCGAGCGAAAGCCCACCCAACACACACACATCAACTGGTAGGAGGAAAAACAGTTTGGACATTTATTGGATGTCAACATATTTTTCTGGTTTTTTACTGTTGTTCTTTTCATACTCCGATTTCTTTTGTTTTTTGATTTTTTTTTCTGCATATGGAACAAGCAGCAGTGCGCCGGTGATTGGTGTTGAGTTACCATGACAGTCTTTTGTTGTTACTGTCCGAGTTGTTGGGCAATTGATTAATGTAAAAAAATATATATATACAAAAAATTAAATAAAAAAGGGAGAAGCAACTCCTATATCTTCATACTGGATGGAGTATGACAGATATAATTAAATTAACTCAATTGAAAATCGGGTTGTGTTTGGTCTTTCGAGCTTCAAAAGAAGCTTGTTACAAAAATTTTATTTCAAAATTTAATAAATTTTTATTCACATTTATATATTTATTTTCTGAAATATAATATCGTATTTATTATTTTAAATAATTAATATACAAAAACTCATGAAAATAGTTGCATTTAATTTTAAAAATATTTCTGGGGCTCCCCCTTTTTTTAAATCCCTAGCAAAAACCCCATTAAATAATAATTTCCTCAATTCAATTCCCTGATAAATGGCACAACTGAAAGAGAAATCATTTCACACATAATTTGCAAAAAGCGTTAAAATTGAAATTAAATGATTGACTCCACCAATGCGATTATCTTCTCACACTCTCTGCAGCATATTATTATGTATTTTTGGCATTGGCCCATCCTACAGACATACTTCGTCATCATCACGATCATCATTGGTATTCATAATCCGCTGCAGTCAATCAAAAAGTGAGCACAAAAGTTCGAAAATCCACAACCACAGAGACGTACAGGGGGAAAGGCGAGAGTGAGTTTTAAAATCCATCGCGTGTTTAAAGCTCTTAAAAATCCATATGCTAAATAATGGGTAATTGTTGACACCACACCCTCTGTGGCTCATTTCGGTAGCTACGACCCACAAAACTTGTATTTAGCATAAAATAGTGAAATAATAGTGACTCACTCTCTCTCTCTTGACAGTCTAGCAGGCAGAGTGACTGACTGGTGACCCAACTATTTTTTGGTAATTGAAAAGGTTTTTGTTGCCGTTGTCACTTTTATTTTCTATTTTGTGGGCGGCTTAAGTAATCAAGCCAAGATATATATATACTCCTCATTGTTGGGCTGTTTAAGCTCCGCGTTATTCAAAACGAAAGTAAAATAAAAATAAAATAAAAACGAGATCTCTGATGCAAAATGAAATGCGAGAAGACAGGAAGATATGTGGCACACAGAGGGCGAGGCATTTGGGATGCACATATGGCCATGGTTCACTGGGTTTTTATGTTAATAAATAAATGCCAATGATATATAGTGTATGTAGATATATCAGGCTCACATCGACATGTTTTTTTCTACCTCTCTTTTTTATATATGCAAAAAAAAAAGCCAGCAAGACATTGTAAACATCTCGTTTTCTAGTTCAATTCCAACTAAATGGGGCCTGGTAATGTAATGTATACAAAATTGTATGAATAGAAGTTCCTCCTCGTGCCCTCATGTGTGTTTGTATGCTGTAATGTTGGCATATCCTGGCCTGGCCTAAAGCCCCATCCTTTAACTGTCCTGTCCGTTTGCTCAACGGATGTTGGCCTTAGGTAGACAACGAGGAAGACCAGGAAAGCTTCTTCTACTTCAAGATGCAATTAGGGCGAGGAGAAAGTTTCGTTTGTTGGAAAAGGAAATTTATCCATAAGTTGAGGCAAGAGTTGAATATAGCCTTTGAACCACTAAGGAAAAGTTGGGAAATCTTTCAAAAAATCTTTATAATTAGCACATAAATTCATTGATATCTATTTTAAACTCTATTTTAACTAACATTTAAACTTTCTTTTTGGCTTTGAGTTAGAATTTCCAACATCTGTATTTGTACAAACTTTTTAATTTAAAAACGAATCTGTAATTGCTCTTCCCTGAACACTATTCATCATCCTTTCCAGCCAGTCAAAGCTATATTAAACTCTAAATTAAATTTCCCTTCCCTTCCAGAACACTCACTTCTCTTGACTTCAGTTCAGTTCACTTCCTTTACTTGGGGCCATAACTTCTATGTGGCCCTCCAATCCAATTAACAATCAGTTGTCTGGCTGGCACTTCAGCCTCATATGTGGCCCAACTTTAATTGCACGTTTCCCTCATTTATCCTGCGAATGAACTTCATAATTTATTACAATCGTGTTATCCCGCAACTGACCTCTCCCTTTTCCCACCTCCTTCTCATCCCAAGAAAAGCGGGTCGACTATGAAAACTTTGTTTTGACCCGTAAACTGAATGGGAAACTATCTTCTTTTTTTTTTGTGTCTGCAGGCGGAACTGAAAACTGAACACTGAACAGAAGACCCCTAAGAATAACCGGGCTCAAGCAGCAGAAACTTCTCAAGCAATTATAAAATGCAAACCAAAAAGTGGAAGTTCCAAGTCACCGCAGTTGTAAAATGTAAGAAACCAAAAAGTTGGACCCTATTTTTGGCATTCAATAAAATACCCTGTAATAGAAAATGATAGAAATGAAAAAATTTTAATATTGTTATTTGGAAATCTCCCATAACTTTCCAGTGGATTTTTGTAGAAATATCCCTTTTAAAATGTTTGTTTTAAAAATTTCTCTTTTACTCCCTTTTATAAAAACTTTTTTTTTTATAAATCTCTTTCAAGATGTCATTTTTCAAAAGTCCAGAAAACATGAAGCAACTTTTTGTGAAACCCCTTGGAGAATTTATTACAGCATTTTAAAATCGCAGAAATACCCAGCACAAAAATCTAGTTCGAAGACTGGCACAAAAATAAGAGCCGGATTCAAGTACGTGAAGTCACGTAATCGGAAAGCAGCCGGGACGTAACGTAACGGAACGGGACGTCTTGCGGCCGGATAGGTGCAAACGAGGACTGAGGAAATGCAGTGAAAGTGCCGACAGCGGAAAACGGGGCGTGACCGCTATCCTATGCTATCCATTTGCTATCCTTATAAAGCACACATATATAGCCGATTCCATTTCAGGATTTCAACGATTTCAACGTGTATTTATGCAGGCGATGACATCAGTGGGAATTCGCACAAAAGGCGACCCAAAGGTCGGGGGGGACCACGACATGTGATACTCCACGACAGTAGCAGCAGAGTGGAGTTTCTCCCTGGGAGCTTGGGGGGCAGGCACTGCGCAATGGAGCTAACGGACGCATAACTCAATCCGCATGGAATTTTTATTCCCGCAGCGGTGGCATCCACAATAAATCTGCATTAGACTAGCCCGTCGCAGGACTCTGCATGCAGCACCACCAGGAAGGGAATATGCCCCAAACGCCATACGCCGGAACCCCTTTCAGCGTGCGCCCCTGGCTTTTGGCTCAAGGCCAGCAAAATGCAGCCACGCACTGCAGCAAAAAAAAAAATAAATAACGAAAAGGAAATTTGGGCAAAAGGGGATCACACAGAGTGGAAGTTGGCCACAATACAAAGCTAAACACTTGCTCTCCTGTCCTCTGTCCCCAAATGTGTGTGTGACATTGTCTACAACAATGAACATGACAGGAGCCAGAGGGGAGTGTAGGTAGTAGTAGTCAGTGGTGGCGAGCAAACACACACAGACAAGAAAAAGGGGGTTTCGTAAGGATACCGCCCATGTGACATACATTCCCCAAGCGAATCGCGAGTGAAAAACCGCAGCAGGAAACAGGAAAACGCTTAATGGCAGCGTTGAGCAAGTGAATTCAGAATTAGTAAACTAGTTCTTTAGGGTTTTTACCTTAAAAAATAAAATAATATTAAGAAATAAGTAATTTAGATAGATTCCTTAATTAATAGAATTTATCTTAATAAACCAATTTTAATCACTATAAAAACATTTCAGATTGCTTTCCCATATTTATTCAATAAGCAAAATAATCAAACATTTCATTCTAATCATAATTCCCCCTATTAGCTGCTAATAATAATATTATTTTGAGGCCATAAACCTTTGCCAGGTGATGTTATCTAAAAACAAATTAACTAGTTCACCGGGTGAACTGGAATGGGTACCACTCGTGGCCCACAACTGCATTTCCGCATTCTTTATCCTCTACACCCGAACTCAGGCAAGCAAGCTGCTGCACTTTTTTTTTAACTCCCCCTTTGGCGGCCGGGGGTTACCCACTTTTGAAAGTTTCTTGCAATTTTCCAGTGAATTTAAACGTTATCTACAAATGTCCACCAACCCGCGCCCACTATCTTCACCTGGAGCGATTAGATAAACGACGCTAATGAAGATTGCCAGGTGAAGCAAATCAAGGTTGATCATCCTCCCTGAAACTCCCCCTGCGATCCATCACATTCCGAGTGGGTGCGATAAGCCTTAACGTGATTGCCCCCACTGTGTGTTCCACACAATTGTTTGTCAGGGAGATTTAGAATGCACATTACACTTGGAGAAAATATTAAACAGGGGGATAGAATATTTCTTAAAGAATATTTAGAAAAAATTATATTATTATTGTTTAGGAAAGTAGGAATTCTAAGGATAGGTTTTATGTTTAAATTTAAATAGTTTTAGCCTCGAGGAATGTAGAAAACGTATTTTTAATAAATGTTTAAAGCTTAGCTATTTTCCAAGTGCAATTCTTTTATGAAAAGGGGTATAAGGGCTCTAAGGGGTCTAGGGGTAAAAACTATAGTTATACTTACGCCTCGCAGTAGGGCATTTTGTTGTAGCCCTTGTAGGTTTTCATATTGAGCGCCATGCCGCACTCTGTGCATTTGAAACACGTTTTGTGCCATGTCTGAAACGAAAGAGAGGAGGAGAAAACGTTGAATTACAAAATAGAGAATCACAGAAAATTGTTGAGAATGCAATATTATTATTGCTATTTGTTGTTGGTGGTGTTGGTGCCTGCTTTTGCCTCTTGCTCTTTGCTGCTCGCTGCTTGTTAGCCAAATTGGTGCAATGCAACCGAAAACTTTGGGCCAAGCCAAGCATAAGAAGCGTTGCGCTCTCAAAGGTTTTTATTTTTTTTATTACTCTTAGCATATCCGTTAACTAGCAATTTATGCGTATATATTTTCTCCTAAATTAATTGGTAGAGTAGCGGAAAAAATATGAAAGAGCAGGTAAGTGCTTCAGAAATTTCTATAAATTATAAAGTGAATAGAAATTAATTTTTAAAATCGTCTTACTCTTTCTTTTTAGAAACTATAAAGAAACTTAGTGTTGTGAGAAAGATTATGCTTCTGGTCTTATCAAATAATCCTAAATCACTCTAGATAAAGCAACTTTATTTAGTTTTTCTTAAGCCTCAAGCTTCTTGGATGACAAATACCAGAAGCATCAAGTATTTTGCAAACTAGCAAAGTTTTTTCCGCATATCTCAAGGCCCCCAACTAAACGGCGGGATGAGTGCGAAGAATAAGCAGATATCTTAGTTAGTACCGTTCAGTTTTGAGATAACTGGTTAGATAAGCCGACGACTAAGCCAGACGGCAGATGAGAGCCAGACAAACAGACTTGGAAAATGTTGCCTGATTTGTGGTGACTTGGCAGCAGCAGCAGCAGAGACAGCAGTTGCAGTAGGAATACTCCTCAACTACTGGCAGAGAGGAACTTCCTCCACTGATGCCTTCTGATGGAAGTTAGTTTGATAGCTCTAGACTTTGAATGTGTTTGTTGTTTCTTTCGCCTGCAACGCGTTATGCAAATTTTCCAAAAGAGGAAAGCAAAAAAAAAAAAATATATGCGAAAACCGCAATGGAACCCCAGCATCTCACACACTTACTCCTCATCTCCAGTCCCATATCCATGGAGTATGGAGTCGTCAGCCATTCAGTTGGATTGCCTTGACGTGGAGGTCAACAAACGATTAACTTGTCTGCGGATTAGCAAGGAAAAAAAAGGAGAGGACCATTTACCCGTTCATAGAGAGAGAGAGAAATGGCTGGATGGGAGTACGAAAATATTTCCTAATTGGTTTTCAACGCAGCAGCGGCAGCAGCAGCAGCCACTGGAAGCTGGCAAAAGTGTTGGCCAAATACAACACGAAAACCCGTTTAAACAACAATTAAAAGTGTAGACACACACAAAAAAAAAATACGATAGTTAATTGTTTGATGGAAGCCAGGGGAAAAAAACAACACAATAAAACCAACTGAAAAGAAATGAAATAAACTAAAAGCGACGCCACATTCCGTAACCCGAAGAGAGAAAAGCTGAAAGCGAAACAATCTGTGACCCCCACTGAACTGAAACTGAAATAAATCATCGGATTTTTCTCTTCTGACCTCACTTTTGAATCTGGGGCTTAAGCAAATGACTTTCCAGCTCAGGGCGCATGCGTAACAGGGGCAGAGACAAGGGGGAGAAATTACGACTAATTGAAGAAATTCCGTTGCAAATTTCCCTAATTTATTAATATTTTTATTTATAAGTAGTATACGTAGGCTATACGATTTGATGACTAAGAGTTTATCCAGAATGTGTGTAAGAGGCAGGAGGAGAAATCTCCTAATTAGGCAATCTGTTCATTCGTTCATTTTTTAGAATTGCCTGTAACTCTTTTTTTTTATTAGCATTAAATAAATAAATAAATAAATTATTATTTTTTTTTAAGGTATCCCCCTAATTTCACAGAAATCATAAAAATTATTTTTTTAGCCTTGAATTTCTCAGGAATATTTGTCCTATTTGTTTACATCAGAAGTATGGAATATTTTTATGATGGTATTTCCGTTGTGCGGCTTTATTTAAATTTGTTATTTGATAACAGTAAATATTAAATTTTATATACATTTTCTTATCTTATATGATCAATAAATAATGCCAAAAATATGCAAATAAACTGAAACTAAAATTATCAGTAATTCAGAGAATTCAAAAGAAATGCAACCAGAATTGCAACCCGAATAAAAAATTGTACTTTAAAGATATAATATTATACACCTATTAGATATATTAAATTTATAAAAATATAGCTTTTTATTTTAGGTCTGTATTCTGCTCTTATTTTTTGAAGCCGCCTTTGACTACACAAAAATTTCAAATTCAGTTTCACTTTCGCAACGAAATGCAGTCGAGTTTGTTGTGATTGTTGGATGTGCTTATGTAGTATATACATATATACACACCTATATATTTAAATGCATGTGGTGAGGTAATCTGTCTGTCTGTCTCCTGGTCAACAACGGTTCGTCTCCCCCAAAACGAACGAACAACAAACTGCCTTCAGTTTCAATTTTCTATGCTCGCTTTAACCCAGTTTTTCACTTTTTTTTTCCACCGACTTTTGCCTCGCTTCTCGTCTTGATTTTCAATTTGCGGCTCAATTTTCAAAAAAGTTAAACGTTTCCTCTTGTATTTTTCGTTTTATTGCTGTTTTTTCTTTTATTTGTCAACAACGACGGGATGGCGACGAGGTGTTAAATTTGCATTCGAATTTGCACGCTTTCAACGTATTTTTTTTTTCGACGATAAAAACAATTGGCATGAGCCACGAAATGGCCAGAAAACCACCAATGGAACGGGAATAGGGGCAGCAGGAGAATCTCGGATTACCACGGCGAACCGAACCGAAGCCAACACACAAATGACAAATGAGGGCAATGAGCAGGCAACAACAAAAGCATTGGGATAAGGAAACAAAAAAATATATACAAAAATAAATAAAATTAACAATACCGAAAAAAAAAAAACAAAGACTTGAAGTGTCACAGCGATTTCTTCAAATTTGCATAAGGAACCAAAAGTAGAGCAATGGGAAATGGGAGCAGTTGCGGCTAATACAATTTTGGCAATGGCTTTTTATCTTCTTTTGCCTTCTTTTTGGGGGTTTCTTATATATTTTAGGTTAAAGAAAATTCTCATCTTTTTTTTATCTTTAACTCAAATTTAAACACCTTAAATCTCTTAAGTCTTATAGCCTAAAATCCTATTGAAATCTTTACTTTGTCTACAATATTTCTTCTCCAAAAAGACAACAATTTTCCAAGCAATTGCTCAAGCTAGAAACGAACAACGAGACTGGGGTTACACTATAATTTAAATAGAAAATATAATTAATTTTTTTAGAAAAAATATTGGTAAATAAAGTTGATTGAATGTCACCTTTTTAGCTACATTTTTAAACCAATTAAAAATATATATAAATTTCTATATTTTAGTTATATATTAATTTATTTAATAAAATCTGTTTATAAAAAACGTATTATTCTTCCACCTTTCAAATCTGTTGTTTATAGAATGTTTTAGCTATAAACCCACTCTATTCCCTGATTCTTTACATTGCTAACCAACTGCCAAGCATAGTTTTGAGTATGCCACTTTCTCGAGAGTATTTCAAAAGCGAATTGTCAAAACTTTTTCGGACAATAAACACTTCAAATGCCAAACGGCAAAAGGCAAACACGAGCCAGACACGAGAGCAAACTGAAATCCAGATTCGCATTGTTGTTCCGGTTGTTGTTCTTTTGGCAGCCTACAACACAGAGGCTTCAGAGAGCTCCAGCTGGTTCAGCCTCAGCTTCAGCCTGAGTCTTTGTAGTGCCTTTTTTTCTGGATTTTTGGTTTTTGTTCGCCGGTCACCAGAAAAAGCAGTTAAACAATTCTATGCCCATTCAGCGGGATAGAAAGATATTGCCGCCGCCGCCATGCCTTTTGTCCATTGTCCAGCATCCAGAGTGTGTGTGTGTTTTGCCTCATTTTTTCCTTAAGCACAAATTAAAGATCGACTGAGATGGGATGGGAGCTGAATGCAACGCTTAAAATGCTGTTATTTATGCTAGAATATAGCCGGTACCGTTATGAGCCATCAACGGAATGAAGTCCAAGAAGTAGAACTCTCTCTCTCTCCCCTCGAACAACTTTACATAAGATATTAATCATGATTTAGAGTCAGGTCTCCTCTCTGGCTCCTAGCAACGCAGTTTAATCAAAACAACAGCCAGAGAGATAGAGAGAGAAACCATCAAAGTGGAGAAAATAACAAGCAATAGTCAAGTTGTGGAGTTTGAAAAGGAGAAAAAATATTCATACTGCACAGTTGTCATTCGGAAAAGAGAAGTTTCAAGTTCAAAAGATGTTTAAATAATTTATAGAAAATGAGTAAACCTAAAGGTATGTTTTATAAGTCATCCTTTAAACAAAAAATGGAATATATATACCTTTTAGTTTTCAAGGTTTCTGTAAAATTAGTAAACCTATAAAACAGTTTTATAAGTCCACCTTTAAACAGAAAATAAGAAACAATAGAACTTACAAATCTTTATAAAAGAGTTTTGTATGAATATTGTAATATATTTATTAATTTTTAAAAATTTTTGGTAAATTGGTAAACGTAAAAGACAACGTATAGAACCTTTTCTTATTAAAATGAACTAATAAAACCGTGTAAATATATTTATATTAAATCCCTGAATTTATTAATTTTTAAATATTTATTTAAACTGGTTTCCAGCTATCTTTCTCTACTCTTATAACTACAAAATGTTCAACCCATTGTAGACTTCACTGTATCCAAAGTGGCAAGAAGTGGAATGAAGTTGTCGCCACCAGAAAACAACACACACCAGTTCGAGCACCCGGCAGAAATACCTCCCAGCCTCCTCTCCACTTGGAGGGAGCGTACTCGACATTGCTGGAAAATGAATCATCCGCACTCGAAGAGCTCTCCACTCAGGCAACATTAGGTCGCACAGATTCTTCTTGCCGGCAAAGCAAAAATTGAGAGAAAAAAAAGTAGAAATATGCGAAATAAAAAGCGAAACGAACGCAGTTGGTGGCCTCTCACAAATAAAT